GATGGGGGATCGGCTATCTATTGTGATTTTTAGACAGCCTATAACAGTCACATCAGCTGCCTAAGCATGAACCATTGCAGCCTTCTCAGGGGCTAGATCTTGCTAAGAACGTTTCACCGACCTTGTTGGGTGCTCTTCTTGGGCCCCAGTAGGTTCAGCCGCAGATGCCTCGGCGACTCCCTACGAGCCCAGAGTCAGCCTGGCCACCCTCTCGTTGTCTTTGGTCATAGGCAGCACGGGATAGATGCTGACTACTCGCAAAACAGAATTATCAAGTAAGTCATCCATTTTGCTTGAGCCGGTGTACACTCTCATCCTCTCCAGTACTTACCTCTCAGTACTCGATACAGGCCTCACCATTAAGGCCTCTCTCACAATCTTGGCCTAATTCGAACAACCCAAGTTAGAGTCATCCTTCGAGACCCAAACAACTTTCTCCTTCCATCCCTTGTTCGACTCAGGAGGGTCGGTGATAATCTTGAATCTTCACACCACCTAAAAATGGAAGTGGGCCTCACACTGGTGCACCTTGACGCTAACCTGATGAGCAAGCACATTCAAGGTCGGTTCGACGCCCAACCAATGACAGATGATTACAAACCTAACTATAGTTAGGATTGAGTTCGGTTTCATCTGCATCAGTGAATCCCTCAAAGCTGTAAAGACAAAACGAAGGAAGGGGTGTAGGGGTAGGTGCAAACCGCACTCAAGATGTTTTACGTACAACAGAACCGACTTGCATCTTGGTCAAAAATTGCTTGCAACTTCGTCGGCGTCGTCAACTTGTAAGACCGAGGGATATCAAACCTCTCGTATAATGACCTCAATTGTGGCAGTGTCACCTTCGAGTGGAGCATCTCCAACAGACCTTGACAAGTGTTAAGTGTGGAAGATGCCATCAAAATATTCTTAGAAGATTGCCGGAAGAAGAAGAACAACCCAAATTCTCTTTTTCGGTTAAGATTTGAAGATTTCTACAAACAAAAAAATCTCTCTCACAGCCATCATACTTATAGACAGCTAGATCAACAGATGTCAACATTCCAATGATGGGATCAGTTTCAAACCATATGGATGAGATCTACTCCGGAATTTGAAATTACTTCTTCATAATCGAGGCAAGGCACACCTACTTTATATAGCCTACAATAAGGCACGAACGACGAGGAAACGGTAGCCAAGAAATGTCTTCTAGCATAAGCAACATCACATCCAAGGGACTTCTCAGCCACCCCTCATTAATGCACCTCGTGACTTAGCGAATCCACATTCACATTTCACTCAGACCCGGTCTATGTGGACTCAAAGTGAAAGGGGACAACTATTATAACCCCTAAAAATACTAAATATTAATCTTCATGGAGAAGTCGACACGTGTCTTACACTCTGCCTAACCAAACTAACTCAAAACTAGGACAACATTCGACTCGGCACCGCCGACTTGATTAGCCGACATCTCGTGTAATCTAGTCAAAAGACGGCACTACTTGGCCAACCTCTAAATTGACCACCAGCGATACGACTCTTCCCACTGTTTAGCCATCATCTCACGTAACCGAATCAAAAGGTAGTACTTCTTGGCCCTAGACCTGAGGAGCCAAAAGACAACAATTACCTCGAACCCCTCGCTAGTGATTACTCTCGCGTTAACTGTCTTGACAACATCATCACACCCTAGTCCGCATAGTCTTCATCACTCATCAGACCCAGTCAGCACCAAGCACCTACTGTCATTCCCACAAAAATTAACCAGGTGGCTCACCATATTTAGCAACCGACGTATAGCACATGTCTACCGACTCAGTTGCCTATCTGGACTCTGCCCAAGTTACCTTCTTGCCCCTCAAACCCGTTATAAAAGGAGTGGTACTACAATGAGGTAACTCTATCTGGCCTTTTTTACGCAGCGGAGAACTAACTCTATTTTTTCCACTCAAGATCAAAAACTAGCTTGATCGTCGGAGGAACACCCGGAGAACCCAACTTCGCCCCTCTTACGAGTAGCTTCATGTGCAGGGAAGAACAACGAGCCCCAAAACCGCTCATTAGAAGGAGTAGAGGACCCTAATCATTCAACAAATCATCATACAAACCCCCTGTTTGATACCGCAATGAACAAAAATTAAAAAGATGGATCGAGATCGAACTGATATAGCAACAAGAGATCCGAGTTCAATATAAACCCTAATCCAATTGAGAAAACCCTAGATTTCTGTGGCTTTTTTTACTCTATTTGTCGAATCGGTTGAGTCCTTGCAAACTCCCTACCAAGTGGTCGGGCTTCCTAACCCGACAGTTTTGGTCGGTGTTGGCAACCCTGACTAGTTTGATGTTAACCCCTATTACCCGCCTCCATATTAATGACTATCACAACTAATTACTCAACTAATTAGTCGGGATTGGTAACCTTGACTAATTAGGAATTCGCTTTTTTTTAAACGACCCAACTTCTGGTCACGATGCTGACGTGGTCAAAACTGGATGGATTTCTATAAAAAAATGGACAGGGTTAATTTTTGGGATTAAATTTGAAATTGAGTTTATTTTAAAATTTTCTCCAATCAAAATAAGCAAAATCATGAAAGAAAAATTTATCTTCTGACAGAGAGATGAAGAGAAGAGGGGGTGAGACAGGAGGCATTAGACCATCTCATCAAGATTCGTGCTTTGATACACAGTGCACGAGCTAGGTTGTTCCGCATCTATTCCTTTATACAAATAGGAGGATCAGAGATTCACTGTTCATGCTACAGTAAATGGTTCAGTAGCATTTACTGTAGCATTATTACTGTAGCTAATAAGTAATTAAAAACATTATTGTAGCAAACGGGTACACTGTAGCATTTAAAAAGTACTGTAGCATGACGGGTTACTGTAGCACTTCCAAAATTCAAATCATGCCATATTAAAAACCGGGATTACTGTAGCAAAAATATAAGCACGGGACCGCAAACTAGTAAAAGGAATTCTACGACCGGTCATAAATTGCCAAATGCCTACATCGTGCGTGCTAACGTGCTCGGCCTGCACAATTTTAAAAACTCGGTTCTATCTGGCTTTGTAATTTTTCTGCCGGCCCAATTGTGCACGTGGAGCCTTCTATCTTGGCGTAGATATATCTTAAGCGCTCTGTATTTCTCTTAATTTAATGATGAAAATAACATCTCACTTGTTCATCATTTTATGTTCTTGTTCATCGATGATATATATGTAGTGATTAACAAAGAAAATTCCTGGTCAGTTCGTTATTTGTGAGGTTAAAATTAAGGTTCATAATACCTGATGAAAAGCACCGCAGCAGGCAAGCCCAAGGCGTACAGAAAAGAAAGGGATGAAGACCTCCTCCTCTTCCATGAGATGTTCACGCGGGGGAAGGAAAGGAACGCTAGCCTCCTTGATCCAGTCTCCAGCGAGTTTGAATCTTCTCGGGGTTAGTTCCTGCTTGATCTTTGATATAAGTTTTTTTATTAAACAATAATTAATATTACCTTAATTTCATGTTAGACATATTAACAATCATGAATTCTTAAATTTATTTACTATTATTTAAGATGTGTATAAGATGAGGATGTTTAATTAAGCTCCAATAAGAAGCAAATTTCATACAACTCACGTGTGAGTTGCAGATTTCTTTGGCTCGAAAGCTAGCATTCTTCATTATCAGATGGTGCATCTAATTAATAACTGTTCCTAAGACATATCTATGTTTGTGCTATACAATTGTCGCAGGAAGCTTTCCATTTTACAAACTTTCATCCGAAGTGAAAGGGCCACCGAACGATTTTCTTGGTGTAGAGAAAGAGAAGAACGATTATGATTGGTAAGTGACTATTTTTTTCCCCATAAACAAACTGTAACGCGAAAAATAACTTTGGTCTATAATCTAATTACTGTATCCCTTTGATTTATTTTTTGGGTAAATTACACCAAACCCTGAAGAAGTTTCAGTGATTTGCAGTAATAATCCAATAACTTTAAAAATCACACTAAACCCCCAATAAGCAATGTTTTTGCAGAAAAAACTCCCAATACCTTTTTTGTAAATTACGCTAAACACTCTATAACATTCAAAATGCATTTTAATTTTTATTTTATTTTTTTGTTCTAATATATGGGGTTATCCACAAAATGCATAAACTTATTGGGGGTTTATTGCAATTTTGAAAGTTATTGGGCCTTTACTGCATAATGCTCCAAGTTCTTTGGGGTTTAATATAATTTTATTATTATTATTATTATTATTATTATTATTATTATTATTTTTATTATTTTTATTATTATTATTATTATTATTATTATTTGTCTTTTTCAATCAATTCTAGTTAAATTTGTACTTGATTATGCGATTGCCTCCCGATGCAGGTTGAAAACGCCTCCAGCGACTCCTTTATTTCCGTCTCTTGAGATGGAAGTTAATGACGCTAACACGGTTTTTCAGAGGGAACTCCCGATCCTCCAACACATTAGTAAACCATCAAGGGTATATATGCTACACTTGTTGTTATATTTTTCAATTATCTAATTAATGCTCACATAGAATTTAAAGTTTTATTTTATCTAACTAATTCTGGATTCAAGGATTTCATTAAAATTCTAGAATTCAATTCTAGAATTTGTAATTTGTAATTTCAATTCCAATTTTACTGTTTGGGAATCATATAATTTCAATTATAAATTCTCAATTCCAAATTCACTGTTTGGGAAACGTTAGAATTGAAATTCTAAAATTTGGATTTGATAAAAAAAGCTTAGTGTATTTCAACTCATGTTTCAAATTTCAATCGACATTTCATGGTTCAAATTGTCCAAACCTTGTGTTCATAAAAAAACGTAGAGGTGAAAGACAATAAACATGACTGAATGAAAAGAACTAAGCCTTAAAGCCTTTATTCACTTTTCAAGTACTAACCAAAAGGCTTACATTTATGAGATTTTTTTAAAAAGCTAACGACAAAAGTTGACCACAAAAACTTGTGCTAACAGATTCTAACTCAACCAGATATCCAAATAGGAAAATTTGATTGATATACAAATACAAACATGCTCACAATTTTCAACTTGCACAAGAATAAAAGTAACAATTTTGGAAGGCTAAAAATTAGACCCTTCTCCATTTTAAAGTACTCTTACTACCCGACTCAAACCTCATCATCTCTCTGATACATCTCTAGAATTGATTTCTCCCTTACTTACCAAGCTTAAGCTCCTCACTATCTGCCAGCATCCTCCAAAGCTTTGCTTCACTCGCCGAATGCTTGCAATAGCTTTTTAAAAAACACTCGCACTCACACGTAGCTTGCACCTCATGATGACGAGAAATTATTGCCCAGTTCCTTATCATAGCGGACATTTGGATATATTTCAAGGCATTGCTGATGTAGAACTTTGTCACCGGAAGGCGGTGGTTCACGAACTCCAAATTTGAACTGCAAAAGGCTAGCAAAAGAAGAATTGCAAACATCTAATTAGGGCTTCATCGCTAAATTAATGTCAATTGTCATAGTCAATATATGGAAACTAGGACACAAATTTATCTTCATCTCAAACATCTATACCTCCTTTGCAAGCCACAGAAAATGTTAGCAATTAATTCCACTCCAAGTGGAAGTTAAATACCAACATAATATGAGAGGAGTATCTCCAAAAAGTAACTAGACCATGACATGTATCGAACAAAACTAACTTGGTCTTAAGAATGACTGCATTGTTTGTTGAAGGAAAACACCCCAATAAAATTGCAGGTTTGATGAGTCAGTAGCTTAAATATCCATTTGTAAGAGTTACATATCTAAAATACGAATACCTAGCACATAATAAATTCAAATTCCAACATGTCCAAAGCTTAAATTCAATATTGAAGCTTAGGAACTTGCATAGTATCATTTTTAAAGGCCAAACTTCACATGCAAATCTAAATTTCTAGCAAATCCACTAGATGGTCAAAAATATTTCCAATAAATTTCATGATAGACAAAATACATCGACAATTAGATACCCAACACTACCAATCTAAGTAATTTTCACATGTGGAGCAAGAGGAAGCACGAGCCAGCACTGGTTACATTCCTTTCCGATGTTCATACAAATTCATACTCTTTTGCCATAAATTTTATATACTTTAAGTCTTAGCGTCAGATTCGTATTTTTTCTAGTGTAATTCGTTGGATTTAACTTCATGTAGACTTGCCTTGTTTTTTAAAGCTTATTTCATGTGGTAGTCTCTACTGCATAGCCAATACCCAATAGTTCGTTCCTTTTCATTTTTTTTTTGTCGACAATGTGAAAAGAAACTGAAAATAACAGAATGTTCAATATTTAACTAACAATAAACTTATTGTTTCTAGGTCTTTAAGATTTAACTGGACTATAGAATGTTCAAGATTTAGCTAAACAAGGATTAGGATGAAGGTAATAATTTCATCAATATATATAACAAACAGGAACCAATAGATCCCGCTGGCAAATTAGCAATATTTCACAATAGCTAACATGGATGCCATGAGAAGTAATAAGCATGCCATCATAATCCGACAAGTCTAAACTCGAATTAACTTATATGACAGACAAAAGGTTGACTCTAGAATATGGCATGAGAAAGCTTTTATATCTTCTACCAATTTTCTCAGTTAAATTCCTTATGATTAGTAGCAAGTTGCATGTTTGCTTTCTTGTGATAGCCATTCGTACATCTAAGACTTTAATGAATATGCATGTATAATATTAGAAAGTGTCTAGATTCATGCAACAAAACCATGTAATTTCTTGACTACTAGACTGAAAGTAGTAGCAAACTCACAGAAATCCAGATATTAATAGCTTTTTCTAGTGAAGAGATTAATACATCTTGACTTTATCACTGGACAAGATTCCAATCATATGGTGACTCTAAAATATTACTATTTGACCTTGCATAACCTTTTACTCGATACATTCCACAAGCTTATAGATGATTATGCTCTGAAAGCATGACACATTACCAATACATGAATGCATGAACACAGTCATACAAATAAAATTTCATGGTCTCATAGTACTTATAAATTTTCCTTCAATCCCCTCCAATTTTCAATTGCCAGTCAACAAAAACCTTATGTCAGATAAGAAAAATGTCATATGCATTATAACCATGAATTCATCCAAAACTACCAAATAAATACGTACCTAATTGGCATGCAGACAACTTGTAGAACATCAACTATCTCTCTATGTTAAAAAATTGTCATATGCTCGCAATTTACTTCACCATATGAAGCACTGATTTATAAGTTACAGTAATGTAATGATTGCATATTTCTTCGACATACATTAACTACCTTTCAGAGTGATTCATCTACATACAATGATCACATAGGATAGGATAAAGACAAAGGTAATTCATAGACATACATATTGATGAAGTTAAAAATCTTCTGCAGCTAAACTAATAAGAACACATATCTTTAACCATATTTCTTTATAATAGCAGAAAGGCGTGAAAATTTGTACTTTGCAATTTATAATTCCCGACATTCTCTACAAATCAAAATCTATCCACTTACCCTCAATATATCAAATTAAGAAAACTTCTCAAGAAGCCATTTCATACATTAGAAACAAGGAAATTATTGAGATAATGGAAATATGTGCATCTTTGAGCAACTTTCCTCCAGTAACTTGAAAAAAGAAGTGATTACGTGCTCAGATGTATAATCAATTCAATGAACTAGTGATCAACATTTCTTAGATTAATGCTGCAGAATGAAGTAGAAACCCTACAAACCCTAGAATTTTTTCCCCGATATAAACAACGCAAACCTAAAGCATGAAACAAAAGAAGAAACATTAATTATTTACATCACCTGAAACTAGAGCCTGAATCGGTTCTTCAACCCTCTCTTAGACAATCGCCGCCTCAAGGGAGACCCTCCGTTGAGCCTTAACTTTATCGTGTCGGATCGCCATTGAAATCAGCATACCAATCTTCAAACTCCAGAGAAACAACTCCCTCCAGAAAAAAATAATCAAAATTTTCAAATAGAACCTGACAAACCCAAGCCTTAACTCTAAGGTATTGACTTCAAAACCTTGGTTCTCGATCAAACCAACGAAGCAAATTATCAAGAAAATAAGTCTAAAACCCTATCCCGAACCTTAACCTTTGCAATTGGGGAAGAGCTTGATGAACCAAGCCAAAAGGCGAACGCCATCGGAGGAGCGAAGTCATAAATCCTCATGATCGAGGCGGGGGCAAGCGGAAACGAGCTGGGATGATGGGGGATGCGATCGAGCGAGGCCAGGGAGAATGGAGACATAGACAAGCTTCTTTTGGAATGCAACAAGAAGCGCCTTGGCTGCGAGTGTAATTGTGATTACGGCGTACAGGATGATGAGGATTGAGTATGAGCAGAATCGATCCAGGGGAAGGAAGAGCTTGGATCCAGGGTTAGGGTTTCTGCAAAAGTGGAGAGAGGATCGATCGAGCGACGTGTGAGAAGAGAGAGACAGGGAGGGATATCGAAGTCGAGGGCAATCGCGATGATCGCGCTTGGAGAGAGAGAGAACGTGTCACCTATAATTTCCAAATGACTCGTCATTTCAAATACCACACCCAGTATACATTTAAAATCCACTTGAAATTCGGCCAATTTTAAATTCTTAATTATTTGTGGTCTAAACATCGGAAGTGGGCCAATTCTTGATTCCATTCCAAACAGGCTGTCAGTAATTCTTGAAAAATCACACTCGTGAGAAGGAAAATGATAGAGGCAGATCTCAACCACAACTCCAACCACACCTCCTTTCTCATTTGCTACAGTGCACCGGGCTCCACATGGGATTTTAAATTTTTAAAATCACATATGGGGTCCGGTGCACTGTAACAAATGAGAGAGGGGGTGTGGTTGGAGTTGTGGTTGGGGGGGGGGCCCTAGTGCCACCCTCGCGAGAAATGTACTGATCAATTGACACTATTTGTATAAGAAAAATCATTAAGTCCTTCAGAACACTTAGTACCAGGGAATTATACACGCTGGAAATTATATAGAGGTTCACATTGTTAAATATGGCTTGTATCTAAAACAATACAAGTCAACACTTCGACCGGAAAGACAACTTGTAATTGGAATTGAGTTCTAATTTCAAGATGTACGTACTCGAATTTGAATAATTCTAGCCGAGGATGTCATGAGGAAGAATTCATGTGAATTAGAATTTGTCTAAGGAAGAGGTCACACAGGAACCAAAAATAGGAGAAGAAGAATCTATAAACAGCCCCTGAAAGGTTCATTGAAAGAAAGCCAAGAAGATGATAGAAGAGAAGAAAATAAGAGAGTGCCCTTGGGAGAATTTACAAGAGAAAAGATATTACTCTTAAAGGGAAATCAGACATTGCTTTCTTCTTCTAGTAATAAAGAATCCTCCTCCTCCTCCTCCTAAAGACGTAGGCATGTCGCCGAACCACGTTAAATTATCTTGTTTTAAATTGTTCATTTGATCTTGTGCTCTACTATATTTCTATCTAAACTTGAAACTCACAATAAATAGTATATATTAGATGATATTCATTGCGATATTCATTATGAAGTAAATCCAAACAACAATTGAATACAGACTTCATAATTCAATTTTAATGTTAAAAACAACAGTGATATTAGTTTTTAGAAAAAGTTTACCCTTTATTTGTGGATGTATAATATATCTCTCAATATTATGAGTAAGGATTTTAATAGAACACCCCCATAGAAAATGATGTTCTATAACATTGATGGGTAGGTAGAGGTTTAATTTGGTAATTGTGACTATTCTATCAATGGTGTAAGTTATCCCACTTTTAAGGGGGCTTATAATTGAATCCCTACTGCAATATTATATGAAATATTACATAGTAGCCCAATTAAACATAATAATAAGATTAAGAATACACATTTTCTTGCCTTTTTGTTATGGTGCCAGAGAAAATTTGTTTACACAAAATTCAAGGTTAGGATAAGGCAGCGAGAAACAAGTTGATGTTCATTTGCTCCACTTATAGGCATGTTTGGCTTATTTTTTGAAAAGTTATAAGTTTCTTTTTACTTATCTTCAAGAACTCTCATAAGGAAGTCAAAAATAAGTGAAGTGTTTATAAAATCTAGTAATTTATAAGGATATATGCGAGTTATATGTTTAGTAAACCAATTAACTTATAAGGTTGTAATTATTGTCAAATGACCAAAAATAACATTATCTTGAATCTAATATTTTGACTAGTTAATTAATGTTAGATTAATAAAATAACTAATATTAGTAAAGTTATTTATTAATAAACTAATTAATAAATAAAATTAATTATTATTTTACAATATTTTTTTTAACTAAAACATATTTAATATATCAAATTATTTGTGCACTATAATGAAACTAATTATATAATATAAAATATATTAATCAAAATAATTATTATTAGTAAATCTATTAATTAATTATCAAATAAAATAAATAAAAATGATGTTTCATAATAAAAAAATGTATTTCATTAGAATATATTTTATATATCTCATTATTTATCTATTAGTTACTAATATTGTGATGAATTAGTTGATTTCCTATTAGTCACAAAATTATTGATAGTAAAATTATTAACATAATTAAGTAATAAAATTAACTAATTAGGTAAGAAACTATTTAATTAAAATACATTTTATATCTAATTTTTGTGATTAATAATTACTAATATTGAGATATTAATTATATAATTATTATTTGTAAAATTATTAACATATAATTATTTCATACTAATCAAATAATTATTTCACAAAAAGAAAATATTTTATTAAAATATATTTATATATGGAAATAATGTGTATGAGGTGGGGACTTATTATGCTAATTGAGCGACCAAGAGATAACAATATAGTGAGGCGCACATTGCTAGTTATATCAAAAGGCATGAATCTCACATTTCTATCTCTTGGTAGCTTATTTTACTATAAGAGGTGACATCTCATAACTATAATTTCCTTTATATATTACAAAAATTATGGTTATTAATTACTAATGTTTAGACTATAATTAGTTTTATATTAATAATTATTATTAGTAAAAATTAATTAAGAATTAATATAAAAAACATTGGATAAAATGATAGTATCTCTAAATTTAAAGTGCATATAAACCGCATAATTAGTTAAGAATTAAACCACAAATACATCTAATGAACAAGAAAGCACAACTTATGACTTATATTCAAAGAAAATGCACAACTTATGATAAATAACACAAAAAACTTTTTACAACATTGTGCGAGGGAGAAAATCTTAAATATCTTTGCATAAACTCCAAAAATAAGATCTGACATTCTTTTTTTTTTTTTTTTGAAAAGGTAGGTAGGGTAACCTAACCAGCCAAGTCCTTTTTTTTTTTTTTTTTTTGAAAAGGTAGGTAGGGTAACCTAACCAGCCAAGTCCTCAACAACACTGTATCAAAATAAAGGGACAAAAACAGACCAAAAACAAGTGGACAAACAGTCAACCGACTTAGCTAGGGAATCAGCAACATCATTGCCAGTGCGCCTTACATAAAAAACTTTAGAGCAGCCAGTAATAGTTAGACCAGCACGAACTTCATCTGCAATAGGAGCCAAGGAAGCAAAAGGAGAAGGAGAGTCCACCAAGGAGACAACATTTAGAGAGTTAATTTTCACCACTGAAATCCTCCAGTTCATTCGCCGAACAAAGCGAATGGCTTCCAGGACAGCCAACAGCTCTGCATGATCCACAAACATAGGACCCCTAATCCCCATAGAGAACCAACCAATCACATGTCCATGGTGATCCCGAATAAGACCTCCCAAACCAATAATATCTCCTTCCAGAGGAACAACAACATTTGTGTTGAGCTTCAGCAAACCAGGAGCAGGGGGATACCAAGCAGAAGGCTATTTTGGAAGGGGTGATAATGTCACAGGAGAGACCTCTAACTCTATCCCCTTCCTCCACAAAACATAGAATCCGAGTCACCAAGACCGAGGCCTCTCTAACACCGCCACCATGAGAGTGCATATTCCTCCAATAAACTGACATTCTTTTTAAAGATCAATAAGAATCTTACCAAATCCACAGTAAAAAAACACACACTGAAATTAATCTTTGGCTTCCAAATTAGATGTATACATACTCTTAAATATCAAGACTTCCAAATAATAACCTTCCTATAATCCATTGTCCTTCTCTTTTTTAAGAATTCAAGAGACAAAGCACAAATCAAGAGCTATGAATTGAACATAAGACATAGTCTTTAACTCCATAAAAAATAAATCATTAAGCCTACAAACTATTTGATAAATATTATTCGATGTGTACACGTGCGCAAATATATACAAGCGACATACGCTATAAACCATTTGATAAACTTTTTATATAATATATTCTATAAACCATTGTGTTGGTGTAGAAATTTGGCTTAGTAGATGATGTGGTGGGTTGAAGAGAATGGATGACCATAATCTATTTGTAGAGATGAAAAAGAGGTTATGCAAAAGAAAAATGAAATAGTGGTTAGTTAATTGGATCCATAACATATGCATTTATTAAATAAGCTATGAAATCTTTAAGAGCCTAAGAAACTAATTAAATATTATTATTATAATTATTTCTAATTAATTTAATTTAAGACTCACTGAATGTGACTTTGAGATAAATTTAATTAAGAAACTTATTAAAGTAAAGTTAGAATTATCAAATTTGAGAGGGGTAAAAAGGGCAATCAAAAGTTTTAGCACTGCAATCCTATTTTACATATAGTATATATTTTCCTTTAAATGAGTTAATTGTTGATATTTACGGCTAATGTCCCATGATTTACATTGAGCTTCGTTTTGGAGGCTATGTCATGTATAAAACTTTATTACTTAGTGGACATCATTTTATCTTAATTTTTTTTCTGGTTTTTTATGACTATGTTATTGTTAGATTTTATTTAATGCACATTTCTCAAAAAATAAATATTAAACTAAAATAATGACTTCCATAATTTGAATATATCTTTGCAATTTGGACGATCAATTTTTTTTAGGAAATAGTTCAATATGAGAATATTTACAAACCAAAAAAATTCTAGTGAACAACAAAATGGGGAAGAAAATGAGAAAACATATCACTCATGTGAGTATGCCTTGAAAATTAGAATATAAAATAATTAGAAAATTAATCTTTTGGCTAATCTTCCATATCATGGGTACGAAATGATAAATGAATTTTCCATCTTCAATTATTAATATCGAAAACTTGAAACATCAAAAGAAACTTCAAAAGAATAAAATAATTTATTGCTTCTCAAAATTTTCAATGCACATGACTTAATTAAGAGAATACTTCTACTTACATTTGACTTACACAATTTGGAGACATTATACATTTTCTTTGATCTTTAGCTAAGAGACACAACTATCTGTTATTTTTACCAATTTAGCAAATTGCTAATTTATGTTTTTATTTTTATCATGACTGTTCATCATTTACTTTTACTAATTTAGAGACGCATTGCTAATTTATCGTTTTTTTAATTTAGAGATTTGGTAATAAGTCTTTCATTATATTTTA